TTTTTAGACTTGAGTTCAAACAGAACAAGGACTTTACAGCTGGGCTCTAAGATGGCTTCCTGCCTTTTTAATAAACTAAATGATTAACTGGTGTGGTGGACTGAAATGTAAATATGCAGCAGAATAATCGATAACAAATGAAGTTCAGCCCTTCGAGGGAATATTCAAAACCAGCCAAGTTGTGTCTGAATAACAGAAAGTCTCTTCACTCACGTTGTCGTGGCTCAGCATGACTCCTTTAGGGTTGCCAGTGGTTCCAGATGTGTAGATGAGGGTGCAGCACTCATTGGCTCGGAGACTGTCAATCACAGCATTCAGCTGTTCATCGGACACTTCCTCTCCCAGCTTCATGAACTCCGACCACTACACAAATACACAGTGTTCAAAAATGTTTGTCAGAACTCAGGTTGATGTGTCATTAAATGTAGCTTTGTTGTTTAATCACATTTATCGAACTGCAATTTCTTTCCCAACAGTAAGAAGCATAATAGTTTTGCTTTAAACAGGTGAATAAACACTATGAGTTCTAATTGATCTATTTAATTCAGTATGTTGCTGAGTGAACGTACAGTGTACAGGTTTGGTAGTTTCTGCTGCAGTTCGCCTTTATACTGGACAATGGCTTTCAGGTGAGGAAGTTGATCTTTAACCTGGTGAGAAAAACAAGTTAAAGACACACACTTGTATATATATTTACTACTGACACTAAGGAGTGGTGCTGCAATAAAGCCTCTGACCTGCAGAATCTTTTCAAGCTGTTTCTGGTTTTCCACAACCAGGACGTTGGCCTCACAGTTGGCAGCCACATACTGACAAGCCTCGGGTGAGTTGGTCGTGTAAATGCCGGCCGCCAGACCCCTACAACACAAAAAACACACGTCCTTGCATGAGTCACTGTACGTTTTGTTCATTTGACCGAAGTCTGTATCAGTTTGACTCATGATTTCATACCATTTCTTTTGCCAGAGCAGAAATGACTGGAGCTTGTTTTAATTCCTTTTTAATGAGT